GCTTCAAAATTCGTGCCCTTCGATCCAACTTTGATGAACACACATACTAGTATTGTATATTGTTTTTAATATTATTATTTCGTCCGGAATATAAGTAAAATATTTGCCTCTGGACGTTAGAAAAACATAACAAAATAAGCTATCCTATATTATGTTACTAAAGAAAATTAAAAAAAATATATATGACAATTTGTTACTATAGCGTTTGTTTCGGAGTTATATGTTTTAAAATCAATTTTGAATATGACTTATTTTGTCGAAAATATAACGGTGTCCTTCAAATCATATTCAGTGGCGGATCCAAAAAGGGGGCTACAGGGGTTAAACCCCCCTTTTTTGACGATCCATGCTTTTGAATGGGGACATATGATTGGAACCCCCTTTATCCCGGGTTGGAACCCACTTTTTTGAAATGGCTGGATCCGCCGATGAATATTTCTTATTTTCATCATAGATATATATATATATATATATATATATATGACAATGATTTCAATATCCCATACAATACCAACTTTACATCAAGGTATATAGAAAAAAAAAAGAAAAAAGAAAGAAATGATAAAAAATCTGAATACAACTTTAAACATATGAATTAAAATGTCAAAGCTTACTACATGAAAAAGCAACATTTCCATTTTATCTAACGACGAAAACGGTTATTTGTGTTATCAGAAGTCCTTTACTAGACAAAGTGTGCAAGCTGTACTATCAAGGAATTGTATAAATATACAATTCCTTGGTACTATATAGTACGGCGATCACGATTTCCCCATTATCAGTGGAAAGCCACATAGGTGCTCCTCCAAACTCTCGTTTTATAACTATGGGTGGTCCTCCAAAATCTCGTTTTATAACTATGGTATTATGGTTAACAATATTATCATCAAACAGATAGCTGTTAATTTGTCTCCTTGCGTGTTAGATTATTTATCAGTTTGTTGTAAAAATATGAACCGACTAAGTGCGGTGGTTTCCTATTGCTAGTTATTTAACATTTAGAAAATGATATAACATTTTATAAACGAATACATTGGTACCATTTTTCATGAGAACTTTAAAATTTGCCGTGTTGGACTAAAAATGTATCAACTATTTAAAAGATATAGTTGTTTTTGTCAAAATATAGTCATAATTGCCTCTTTTTATAAATAGAACGTTGTGTTGATGAATTATGTCTCGGTTATTTACGGCATCAAGGAAGCTATATATATATATATATATATATAGCTATATATATAAGTCTAGAGATTTGCACAACGATACTAATATAAGATGGTATTATACGAAGATGTTGTTAATAAATCGTGTTGACATATATATATATATATATACATACGGTAATGTATAAGCAAAAGACGGGTTTTTTTCTTGACTTCTACCGAAATGCATTTGTCATAAATATCCGACCATTTGTTGCTTCAGATGACTTGGAAACAATTTTGAATTTCAAAAGTCTCTTTTTTATAGCTATTTTTAATCAAGAGACATACTTTTTTCCTGTCTGTCCGTCATTATGTGAGTCAGTGTTGCAACGTGTAATAGTCCTTTTTGTCGTTTTATACTCACAAGAATGAAGACATCTGTAGATCATGGGGATTAAAGTTTTAATTTATCGTGTGTTGCTAGCTTAACGTTCAATGGCAAATATATCATGCATATCCCATCAAAGAGTTATCGCAAGTGCTATTTAACATCAGAGATCGTAACATTCATCCTGAATGCACGAGGTACTGAATTAAATTGCATTTTAACATGTCTTTTAACGGATAAGTAAGTGTAGCAATATCTGACTGAAATGACAACCTTTGTTCGTCCACACCATCAGCCGAGGTAGCATTACTGTCAAGATCTCAGTTGTACAAGGATCGAAGATATTTGAAATAATAGAAAAAGGGCATACAATTATTTTCGCCTCTTTTTTTCAAAATTGCTGGTACAATTTGTTACTTTTGACAAAAATGGTAATATCAGTAGAATTCCCGTGTAATTAAAAAAAAATATATTTTTAGAAATTTTTAAATCGTAATATATATTCTTAAAATAAATATAATAGAACGTTTATTTCTTACAACTCATTCCTAATCCAGTGTTACTTGTACTGTATATGGATAAACAATTATCCGACAAAATTTTTCCTTGCCAACTTTTAAATGGCATTTCTTTTACAATTGACTCTAAAACCAAACGTTTATTGTATTGAGAAGTGAGTTGACGGTGAAATTTTCTACGGTTATAATTGTAGTTTTAAAATTGAAAATATAATATGGTATCTAGGATCTGCTATTCATTAACACTTCGATGGTTAAACATTATTTTCAACTATGTGCTAATTAAATTATAGGGTGTTTTGTATTAATTATCTCTACCCAGAATGCATCACAAAACAATTGACCATTGATTTTTGTTACTATTAATATCAATTTCGCTCAAATCCCGTATAATCACAGTTGGAAGTACGGGGACAACGTGATCGCTTTACTGTATAGCGGGTTGAACACTTCGTCTAGTAATGGACTTCTGGTGTTATACATGTTGTTACCATTTTGGCAATTTATAAGTTTGCTTTAACAACTTTGCCAACGATTAAATCTAAATAAAACAAGTGTACAACAATTAATTCTAAATCATAATATTGGTGAAATATCGGTGATAAACGTGATTAAACTGTAACATCAATACGATTTTATTTTGACTATTCAAACACTTGAAAAGTTTCCGATTGCGAAATAGATAACGACTTGTTATTTTTCTCCCCATTTGTGAAACTTCAAAGAGTGAAGATGCGATAGACGGATGCTAACAATCAACATCTAAATTATATGTACGAGTGATAAAAAGGTTTTACATGTATGAAGGTATTCTGGAAACTGTAATCAATTAGTGAGATTCAGATCAAGGATTTGTTGGTTTTTTTTGCGGTCTTCGAGGCGCAACAAAACAAAATGCACAAATAATGAGTTGATGTTATTAATGAAAAAGTTCATTAAGCTTATTTTATAACTACATGTTTGTATCTCTACTTCCAATCAAATGGTCACTTACTCGCATTTTACATAAACACAAATAGTTTTAAAATAATTTTTAAGAATATATTTTTTTCATATTTGGTCTTAATTCTACTGTCCAAGAGAATTCCAATATTTTCATAAGTTGATTTTCGTATTTTTAGATATACTTTCAAAGCAGTTTTATTTCTTTTTCATATTTTTGAGAATGACTCCCTCCTCTTGTTTCAAGTTATTTTTATTTCAAATGCAATAACGAAATATTGTTATGAATAAAACTATTCATAAACAAATAATCAATAGTATATTATACCACTGAACTTGAGTAAATTAATTCGTTTCATTTGGAAACTCGAAAACTAGCATAATAAGCAAAAAAAACCAAATCAGGTGATATAGTATGTTTCTGAATGGAACATGTATGTTTACACAGAATAAATTGATCGTTTAGTTCACACGCGACTTTGATCGGCAAAAAAACGATTTGACGTCAATAAACGAAATGAGTAGAGATTAACTGATTTAAATCGTTTGTTCTCGATTCATTTCATTTTCGTGTTCCGTGTTCTTTCCGAGGGAACGATGAGTGGTTTAGTAGCTGTACTTCCTATGAAATGTTATACTACACCGTAATGGACTTTATTGAGACAATTACGACATGAATTTCCACGAAACAGCTTTTAATATTATCTTTCAAACATGTTCAGAGTAGTTTCTAAGCTGACCCGAGTTAATGTGGGTATGGTTTTGTGTTTATGGAATGCATATATAGTTAAGGCCGTAAGTTTGATTTGTTTCAAATTTTCGTGTCAGGCTTTTTAAAGCTGACAATATGGTGTGGCTTGGTTGATAGTTGTCTCATAAGAAATCATACCAACAAAAAAAGTAAAATCACAAGAATACTGAACTCCGTGGAAAATTCAAAACGGAAAGTCCCTAATCAAATGGCAACATCAAAAGCTCAAACACATCAAACGAATGAATAACAGCTGTCATATTCCTGACTTAAAAAATTAAAGACAAGAATACACAAATTTACCATTGTACAATAACCAAATGTCCTTAATTTTAATATTATTCCACTAACAATTTTATTGTTTAACCTTTTTCATGTCGTGTCCTTTTAAATAATTAAAACTATGCTCAAGCTGTGTTGTCTACATGATTTGTAGGATTAATGTCGGACAGAGATGTAAAATTATTTTTCTTAGATTTATCTTTTTTGTTTCCGAACAATTCGTTCCTATAAGTAATTGACAAGAAAACTTTTTCTATCCAAGCTTCGTAACAGTTCTTTAAGGTTTTGCTAAAATTTTCTGCTATTTTACGAGTAACTAGCTTTATAAATTTTGATGATTCATATCGTTGCTTTTTGAAAAAATCCTATACCACTGAACTTGAGAGTGTATATTTGTGAACGGCGGGAAAGATTTCATGACGTTGTCGCGATTAAAACAAATTTCAACGTAGTTTAGCGCTTTATTGGCAAATGTCTACTGTGCCATCAAGAATCAAGGTGTATTGTTTTTATTGAAATAACAAGCATATGGACCCCCAGTTATTTTATTTTGCAACCAATCAAGTAATGTTTAAAGAACGCTCTGCCAAAATTTTATGAAAAAAATCAACGAGCAAAGTTTTCCTGCATTTCATAATAGACGCAAAAATATTGTCTTTTCTTTATTTGACTAATTGTAATATAAATTCAGGAAATAATAATTTGGTTTGACCTTTTTAAACTTGTTTCAGCATGTTAATGTCATGAATCAAGGGAACATTTTACAAAAAAACCCGGATAAATTAGGACTGTTCGTTCACAAAAAAATCAACGAGGGATCTCTACTGTATCGTATGCCCTTAATATATTAATTTTTTCATCACTTCTTAGAATTTCATAAAGCGCAGGAGTGTGGTTTTTTTTTCGAAAAAAGTACATTTTCAATATATTGCATTGTTCTGGTATATATAAACGATGACTGAATTAATAAAATCATGTATAAATTATTTCAGGAGGTTTTCAAAAGAAAGGGTGATGAAACTATTGATGGTGAATTAAATGGGGAAAATGAAACTTCGTTTGACAATTCTCATCTGAAATGTAAGACAGAAACACCCGTAAACAAGACAAAAAAACCTGCTAGTAAATCAATTGTATTAGTGAATAAGGCAACCCAAACTGCATATAAATCGGACGAACCAGTAAACAAGACACAAGAAACTATTCATCGATCAGAAGTATTAGTAAACAAGACAAAAGAAATTGTTCATACAGAAGAAGGATTTGTGACCAAGACACAAGAATATTTAAGTACAGTAGAAACGCAAGTGAAGACTCTAAGGAAATCAGAAGTACGATTAGATCAAAATCAAAAACCTAACAGTAAAATTGAAAGACCAGTGGACAAGACACAAGAACATGCCATTGAATCAAAAGAACCTGAAAAGCCAGTAAATATTCAACAAAAGCAATCTAATGAAGCAACAGATAAAGTAGCAAAGGTAACGTGGTACAAAATTCACTTGTAACATATTACTAACAGTACTGATAAGTCTATGCATAGCCTAGGTCAATTTATATAGAAGGGCCATTATGTTTCCAAGCTATGTGTCTTTTTGGTTTGTCCCATATACTAGTAATGTGTGTGTTAAAGGTAGTTTTCTGCATGGTAACATCAAGTTTTAATATTAGTTCACACGTTCGTTATGGTGTAAATTAAGAATATATGCCAATTAAGGGTTTTGACAGGGTGTACAGTACACTGAACTTGACATGCCAGCTCCAGACCTCAATTAAACTGATTGAAAGATTATGTCTTCATCATATGAAAATCAAGTACAATCCTTCCCGTTAGGGGTTTAGTATCATACCATCATAAAATATACGAGAAGAACATAACCCGTATCATGCCAACAACTGGTTTTAGAATAAATGTGTTTATATCCGATGCAAAGACCATATGAGTGAATCAATATTAATACCAAAAAATGCAATCCTTAATGACTTGACAACAGTATCGTAACTATATCCTTTCCGAATAAGTCTGTTTAAAGGTTTGGTTAGCTTTTGAGGTGAATGCCGATATTTTTGTGCTTTGTAAAGAATATTACCATAAAATATTGGATGTAAAATACCTGAACGTATAAGATGTCTGCATGTTGATTTATATTTACGAATAATTTCCTTGTACCGATGATAAAATTTAGTAAATGTTTTGACTAGTTTGTGATATCGAAAACCCTGGTGTAATAGTTTTTTAGTATTGTATGATTACTAATGAAACAACCTATATATATTCACCAGAGACCAAATGCGGTAGACATCATAATATGAACCCTCGTAAAATCCGTGTGCACATACATGCATTTTCACTTGTTTAATCAAGCTTCCGTTTACTATAATTACATGTACGCTGTCAGAATGGAAATTTGTAATGACCACCGATGTAAATGAACAGTACCTTTGTGTCCATTTAGTTTGTAATTAACGTGCGTTTACTAAAGATTTCGCACCTTTACATTTACGCACACTTGTAAATAAACCCACATTTACTCTTCGCGAAAACTATTTGTGAAAATTTAAAAAAAAATACATTTCCTGGTTACTTGCATATAAAACTATAATATTTTAAAGGTATTTTCTATAATCATACTTAATCAAAGATAAAAGGCCTTTAATTCTGTACGTTAGATTCACGTTTTGTATACAGAATTCTCATACGTTTCTCCTAAAAAAGTTACTTAATTACAACAATAAGCTTCTATAACAGATGACTATCTCATTTTCTTTATTCCATATTACTTTATCATATTAAACAAATGATAGATAGTGGAAGTATTGCTTAATAAAAGAAAAATAAAAGAAAAAAAACATTATAGACTGTGAACTTGTATACACGTTAATGTCAATTTGAAAAATAATGACCTTTTCATCATAAGATACCAAAAGAACATAACTTTAATGCTGATGCATGATTTTAACGAGTAAAATAATGAATATTTGCAATTTTAACCATTGCTGACTTGAATGTAGGTATCAATCAAGTTGAACATATTAAGACAAGATGAATGACAATCAATGTTAAAAAATCTATTCTGTATACAAAAATGAGGATGTGACATGATTGTTAAGGAGACAAATCTCCACAAGAAACCAAATGACTTAGAAGATAGCAATTTCAGGTCAATTTGTTGAACAAGATAATGTATTATTGAAAACAAATCTGTTGCTATTTATGAACAACATACTACAAATAAATAAAAACATGTTATGTAGAAAGATGTGCACGTTATCAAACATAGTTGTTGGTAACAGTAAAGTAACAGAGTTGTTTTCCCATGATTGTCAAAGTAAACAAATTGAATAATAATCAAAATAATTTTATATTAAAAAAAACAGTCGTGATAATAAGATAAAACACATAATTCGTTCCATTTAAAAGAAAAGTATTACAGATTAATCAAATTCCTTTTTCGACATTTTCATATTGAATTGAAGGTATAGTTTGCACCTGTCTGGAATCTGATGTTTGTCGTTTGTTGATGTGGTTCATAAGTGTTTTTCGTTTCTCGTTTCTCGTTTTTTTTTTATATATATTAGACCGTTGGTTTTCCCGTTTGAAGGGTTTTACACTAGTAATTTGTTTAGACCTTTATTGCTTGCTGTTCGCTGTGAGACAAGGCTCCGTTCTGAAGACTGTACCTTGGCCTATATTTGTTTACTTTTATAAACTGTGACTTGAATGGAGAGTTGTCTCATTGGCACTCATACCACATCTTCCTATATCTATGTATAGACCGACTTCGATCTACTATTTTACAATCCTAGATGGCGAAAGACCTTCAATCTAACTTTATTTGTTTATATAATTTACTCTAGTTCTCCAATAACATTATGTTAACCTACAGTTGGTAAAAAGTTCTTTATTAATGTAACCGTCTTGGTCATAACCATACCCGGTATTTGAATGAACTTCTAAAACTCGAATTTCTGATGATTCTCTGTAATACATAACCAAACTTGCTATATTGACTTCAGCATTACTTTATTTCATTTTATGATCTATTTCAAGCAATACAAATCATATAAAGCTTTAGTCCAATTACTTCTTTACTAATTTTAAGCTCAAACTGGAAAGGTAGTCCCATATGGGTTATTCCAAGAAAAATGCATATGGATATTACAAATGGTCATAATACTTTTTTCATTCTAAATATCATTGTTCTATTTATTAATTTCTATTAGGAATGCAATGTGCTTACCAATAGTCATATTTTTACTATAGGTTCATTTAATAAAAATATATCATTCCAAACCTAAGATATAATTGAGAATATTATCCCTTTTTCTGCAAATTGGAAAAGGGACATTTTTGACATAAACCATACTTCTGTGGTACAACATAGATTAAAAACAGCAATTTATATATCCCTAAGCTGAATATAACTTGCTGAACTGGTTCAAAATGGCATGTACAGTGAAATTTTGGAATTATTATAAGAGTATAAAATTATACCAATTGCCTAGATTGTAAAAGGCTACCATGAGAAAACTTAAAAAATCATAAAATTCCAAAATACCTTATTATGTCAATTTAAGAGCTGAAATGTCCCATAAACAGAATTAATCATCCAAAAAAGATGATTAAACATGATTACTGAATTAATTAACAACATTATCATTTGGATATTGATTTTTTTTATTTGAAAAGCATTACTGTAAAAGTGTTTTATTGTTGTCAAAACATCAATGAATACCTTGATTAAATAACGGAAAATTGACCATTGTCATAAAATACTAATTACTTTGTTTTTACAATCAATCTTTTCATCATTTTCCACATGTGACGACCGTCGTGTGGCTCGTGTAATTCCTAACTCGGCGACAAGCCTTATTCGGGAGGTGACATTCAAGACAGAGATGACGGTATTTTGGTTATGTCAATTGGAACTTATCAGTCGTCATCTGGCGAATCAGATATTTCATAACTGTTAACCAACTTGAAGGGCGTCCATAAAATTTTCGAAGGGATTATTTCAACTTTGCATTTGCACACTGGTTTAAAACCATGTTAAAACAACCATTTTTCTTCAAATGTCCTATACCAAGTCAGGCATATTGCAGTTGTTATCGAATAGTCTGTTTCTATGCATGTTGGCGTTTGCTTTTGTTTTGGTTTGTGTCCCGGATTTGTTTCAGTCAAATCGATTTATGACTATTGAATAGCGGTATACTATAGTGCCTTTATCTAATAGCTTCATTGTGAGCAGTTACCTACTATCAAGGAAATCGTGAAAGTAAATGCAAGCTCTGGAATATTGTATCAACTTGGAGATATATACTCCACAACAAGATGCCGCGAAATCGCGTTACAACTGAGCAAGTGTTGAAACAAAGTTTTTTTTTTTAATTTCGCGGGCAGTACGTCGACTGAGCATGCAAAGACAAATTTCGGAAATACAAAACACTACATTTATACGTCATATCATAAATATTTCCGACTTTGTATGGCTTCAGAGGTGTTGCGGCTCAATGAAATCGGTCTCTTCCTTTAGTAGTATTGATATGCAGGCGTTGCTGTAATATTGTTGCTACATAGAAATGCAAAGGTTACGATTGGGTAGCTGAAATTATCTCTTTTGTCGTAAAATTTGTTCTCAACCGACCCTCATCGTCGATTTCAATATATGTGATAGAGTTAATTGTATTTGCTAAGTCTTTTATTTTCAATTTCAAAGGAAAATACGCGTCCAACATCGTTACAAACTTTGCATTATTCAGTGAGAGGACATCATCTATATAGTGGAAAGTGATGTTTCAAGATAATGGCAGCTTTTTTCAGTCGTCAGAAGCGCTTGCATGAAGTCAGCCTCGTATGAAAACGAAACAAGTCATTCAAGCTATCCAGGAAGCCTAGTTGTAACTAGAATCGTTGCGTATAAATGGAATTGTTCTTCAAAATTATTCTTTTTTGATGAATTTATGCTATTAAATAATGTACAATGCAATTTAAGCAATCAAGAAGACAAGTTTTATAATGTGTTTACTGGTTTTTGAATTCTTTGAAATTTCATTTTTCATATATTTATTTTAAAAAAATTTTTGTCTAAGTTTTCAAGTTCTTTTTTATGGTTCACATTAAATAAATAAAAAGTCTTTTCACTACATCAATGTTTATAATGAAACTACAAATCAAACAATTAGAAAAGTCGAAAAATGTTGTTTATTTCAGTCTGGTAGTTACAATGCAGATTGCCATCTCGCAGGTTCGCCCCTTTATTTCAAGCAATAGTATAATGCTCGCTCATATTTTTTTACTTTAAATTTTTCAAATTCTTAAGATTTTATTTATTAAATCTTATATTGACCACATACAATGTTTAAAAAGGAAGAAGTGCTTAAAAGCTGTGTTCCCGCAGATGGCGGTATTTTGGGCAACTGTGTGAGTTGTTATGATTTGCTGTTTGATTAGAAGTAAGCATAATTATAGGAAATTGATATG